TCGGTTGGGGTTGAGTATCCCCGGGATGCTAAATGCTCCCAAAACTCGGTAGGATATTATGAATGTAGAATGTAGCTTGTGAGCTAGGCATTCGGGAAAGGAGTGAGAAAAGTCAGGTAAGAACTTTACCACTAAAATACTTTTAAGGAAACGGACCCACGGGTTGAGTATTTTTCAAATATATATATAGTACGTATCATCGGGCGGATGAGTGACAGTTACATATATGTATCACCCTATTTTTGGGTCTCGTGTCTGAAACATTAGTTATTCTTCATATAGCATGCTTGTCACTAGTACTTCTATGGAGTACTAACCCCTCCGGGGGGCCTCTCATTTTTCAGGTTAAGGCTAGAGTCCTACTACCTGCACCTTTGCCTAGGGTGATTGATCAAGAAGGAAGACGTGGTTCGTGCTTCCATTCTTATTTCAAATTTATAAACTGCTCATGGATTTTCGAATAATATTTTCTTTAAAACAGTTGGGGGCCTGTGTGCCCATGTTTGCCAAGTGTGGCTAAGTATCAAACATATTATTATTTCCGCATTTGTTTGATTATGATATTGATGTTGATTGTATGTGTTTACTAATCGGCTTGACAATAGAATCGATCGGACACCTTGTACCATTCAATAGGGATGAACTGTTGTTGTTCTTATTGGGTTGTACGGCGATTATCTACGTGGCTCGAATGCGGTCTGGGGCGTGACATATTGAGCCTATTGTATGTACATCCAGAGCTGATTATTACATGGTGGAATTAGGTTCTAAAAGTTGCTTTTTCCAGTATTAATAAGATTTGGATCTTTTGGGACCCGGAATCATTTACCATTTCTGATTTTACCAGGCATAGCCAATTGGTTCTAGCCAATTGGTTCACTTATTTGTTAAGGGAGATTCTTTCCCGGGTTGGTTGACTGCCATATATGGAAAACATAATCACATGGTTAGAAAGGAAATGTGGAATTTTCTGGCTAATACACCTGCAACTATGAATGAGCCATGGCTAATAGGGGATGACTTTAACGCTATAGCTAATCACAATGAGCAGCATGGCGTTGATATCCCTAATCTTGACAACATTTTGGATTTTTCTAATTGTATTGCTACTTATGACCTAGTTGATCTACCTTTTCAAGGCCCCTTATTTACTTGGACAGGCATCAGATCTAATGGTAGGGTCTCAAGGCGACTTGATAGGTATTTGGTCAACACTAAATTGTTAGACTGTATTGATACTATCTAGATTAACATCCTAGACAAAACTCCTTCTGACCACAGTCCTCTTTTGATGCAATGCAAAAAGAAGTCTCTTCAGGGGCCAAAATCATTTAAATTTCAGAATATTTGGCTTTCTCATCCCTCCTTTATGGAGGTAGTTAAAAACATTTGGGTTAAAAATCAATTTAGAGGAGGAATGCGTGGTCTGGTTGCTAAATTAAAGTGTCTTAAGCAGGATCTTAAAGTGTGGAACAAGACAATCTTTGGTAATATATTTGAGGATATCAAGAGGTGTGAAGAAAAAGTTTTACAAGCTGAAATTGACTTTGAAGCTGACCCTAGTGAAACTAAAAGAGAAAATTGGTTTCATCTCAAAGCTTTACTTAAGGCTAAGTATGCTTTGGAAAGAAAATACTGGAAACAAAAAGCCAACATTCACTAGTTGAAGCTAGGAGGGTGATTCCAATTCTCATTTCTTTCACTCTTTTGTCAAAGTTAGACATAAGAAGCAACAAATTACTTCAATTCATAACAGTTCAAGAGCTTTGGTTAATACTTTACCTGAAATGGGAGAAGCTTTTGTGTCATTTTTTCTGGCCTTTACTCTATGGGAGAACAGGTTGACTCCTCCATTGTCCTGCACTGTATTCCAAGATTAGTTCATGAAGAGGATAATCAAAAGTTGATGCAACTGCCCAATGAAAATGAAGTAAAAGAAGTTGTTTGGGATCTAAATCGGAGTGGTGCACCTGGTCCAAATGAGTTTAATGGCAAATTATTTAAGAAATGTTGGGAGATTGTGGGTTCGGATGTTGTTAGAGAAGTTCGGGAATTCTTCATGGGTATTCATGTTCCTAAAGGAATGGTCAGCAGTCTGGTTGCTCTTATTCCTATGGTGGATAATCCTGATACTTATGTTGACTGTAGACCTATATCTCTATCTAATTTTGTTAATAAAGTATGCACTAAAGTGGTGACTGTCAGGCTTACTACTATTCTTCCTAAACTTATCTCTATTGAGCAAGCCGGTTTTATGCAGAATATGGATATAACAGAACAAGTTTTAATAGATCGGGAGATGGTGCATTCTTTAGACAAAAAGATCAGGGGCTCAAATGTCATCATTAAGCTTTATATGGCTAAAACCTTTGACAGACTTTCTTGGAAATTCTTAGAGGAGGTGCTGGATAGATTTGGGTTTGCTAACCAATTTATTCAAATTGTGCTTAGTAATTTGTAAGCCACTTATCTCTCTATTTTGGTTAATGGGGTTTCTCAAGGTTTCTTTAAACCTAAGAGGGGGGGTCAAGCAGGGTGACCCTCTTTCTCCCTTCTTGTTTATTTTAGCATCTGAGGCTTTTTCTAGGGGTTTAAGAAGCCATATGGAAGAAGGTCTTATTAAACCTTTTTGGATGGGCAACTATGGCTTCCCTATTTCACATTTAGGGTTTGCGGATGACCTGTTGATTTTTTGAATGGAGTCTAAATCATTGAATGGTCTTTCCAAGTTCTTAAAGGCTTACCAATCTGCTTCTGGGCAGGCAATTAACTTGGATAAGAGCTCTTTTATTTCTGGAAAATCTGTCGGCCTAGTGTTAGATGCATGCAGGGGATCTTGGGTACGTAGCCAACTAGCCTTGCACTGAAATACCTGGGAATCAAGTTACATAAGGGAATCAATAGATTTCAATATTGTGATAATATTATAAAAAAATTGATTCCAAGCTAACCTCATGGAAGTGTAAAATTTATCTCAAGGAGGAAGACTTATTTTAATAAAGCATGTTCTGAGTGCTTCCCTTTGCAAGGAGCACTATTATTGGCTATCTTGGTCTAAGCTCAGCCTACCTACTGAGGAAGGGGACAGGTTTAGGAATCAGATCTCTTTCTCATTTGGAAAAAGCTTTCTCTATCAAGCTCTAGTGGAAGTAAAGAAATGGAAATTCACTTTGGAATGTATTCATCAATGCTAGATATCCTAGGGGGGTTAATATGTTCCCTAAAATTACTGATTCTCCAATTTGGAGAAGAATTTGCTACATTCACCCTCTCGACAGTTCTAATTGCATCACTGATATGAGTGGGGGATTGATATGGTAGCCAAAGGAAAATGATAAAAGATGAGAAACCAAGTGTGTTTACTTTTAAGCATATGAAGTTGTAAGAGATGAGAAACCAAGTATGTTTACTTTTAAGCATGTTTGGCACCCAAAACAACCCATGAAGATAAAAAAAATTATATGGAAAGTCCTCCATGGTACTATACCAGTTTCAGACATACTCCAAAGATTCCAACATGTTTTAAACACATCCATGTGCCCTCTCTGTAGAAGACAAGAGGATTCCATGGAACATTTATTATATAAGTGTGATGTGGTAAGTCCCATTTGGCAATACTTCATGACTATTCTGGGTATTCCTAGAGGGAACACAAGTGTTTCTTTTCGGCAAATTCTCATGAGTTGGTGGCTTAAAGCCGGGAGTAAAACTGTGATTGATCTTTTTAGACATAATCTCCCGAGTGTTATTTGTTGGTATGTGTGGAAGAATTACGTTGTTACTTTATTCCATTTTGATTTCTTCCAAAATTATTACGAAGTACTAAATGTCAGTCGTATTAGTCCAGCTTTGAAAGCAAAGTCTGTTTACTTGTACTGCTTATTTAATACTATCGCTTATGAAGTATTTTCTTAGGAACTTTCTAATTACTTGTCAGAATCCCTTGAGTTGCAGCTAGGCATGGACCCAATCGGGCCGAACCGGACCGAAATCGGCCTGGCCTGTTACTGTACGGGCCCGGACCAGACCGGACCGGACCCGGATGGCCAGTTCTGGGCTTTAGCCCGGGTTGGGCGGGCCTAGCGGGCCGGTTCCGGGCCCACATTTATATGAACCGGACCGGCTGGTTCGGGCCGCTTCCAGGCCTTTTTTCAACTTTTTTTCTTTTCCTTGGGTAGGGCTGGGTGTTTTGGGGAGGTTTGGGGGGTGGGGATGAGGGGGGTCGAGGGATAACAAGAAAGCCAAAAAAAATTATACATTGAACCGGCCCGGTTTGGCCCAGACCCGGTTTCAACCCGAGCCGATTCCGGGCCCAAGTATCTGGAAAAAAGCCTGCCAGGGCCCAGCCCGGGTCCATCCCTAGTTGCAGCAATATTTTGTCTCGTTACACTATATTTTTTGGCTATTATATTAAGAAGATAGATTTTATCACATAATTTCATATACCTTTTTTTCCTTGTTTTATACTTTTATGAATAAAATATATTTTCAATATAAATTTTCCATAATTGAGCATATTTAAATGATCCATGAATTCAGCTAATTTTATCAGGCTCTTTATTGATATGCTTGATAGGCAATCAAATGATATCCAGTTTTTAAACTACCTTTACCTTCTGTAGGAATCACATTCTAACCTGATTAAGAAGCACGGGTACAATTAAAAGTAGCTTTTCTAACCAGCCAATCAGGTGCAGGATTGCCTTCTCTGTGATTGTGAATGCATTCTCACAAAAAAAAAAAAAAAAAAAAAAAAAAAAAAAAAAAAAAAAAACTCTTCTATCAACCAGCACTACAGCAGGATGGTTCTTGATTCTCAAGCACATTCCATGACCTTTTTAATGGATTACTTCGGAACATTAGTGAATGTAAAAACTCGTCTAGTCGTCTGCCACGGATGGGAAACCATCACAGCCCTTTGCCCCTTTCCGCCACATTTGTGGAGATTTTGCTGATACATCATTGTGTATTTAATTTGTAAAAACAAAGAACACAACTTTGAATTATTGAAATATTGAAAATAATGAAACCATGGAAAAAGAGATCTTGTTTATGAATACACCATGCAGTTGTACAACCATTTTACAAAAATAATGAAACATTGAAAATTTTGAGGGGGGGGGGGGGGGGGGGGGGGGGGTTGGCATACACAAAAGGCCTGCTTGAGCTAAAGCAGGTCAAAAAATAAAGGTTTTATTGTGTGTTCCCATTGATGTAACCAATGAACCAAAGAACTTTTTGCTCCTACCTAATTATTCAACAAATAATTTCACCCTACTTGCAGCAGTGGTACACACCTGTTCATCATACATCCTCCAGTATACATAAAAAATGCAAAGCCAGCTCCGATGAAGGAAAGTGCTCAAATGAGGCCAGCATAAGGATTGCTGTAGGATTGAACAGGCATAGAAGCATTACTATAAGGACTAGCAGATGTTGCACCATATGGATTGCCGAAGGGATTCATAGCCGGTTGTGTTTGCGGACCCACCATCATCTGAGGTTGCTGCTGCTGAAACATGAAAGGTGGTGGATGATTTGCCATCATCTGCTCCGTCGATGTTTGTGCACCCACCACTATGTTTCCGGCGTAGAATGGGTCATGTGCTGTTTGTGCCTGCGGCATCATCATCATGGGGGCCGCAACTGACATTGGTGAGCGTTCCCATGGATTATTGTTATTATTATAGCTTACATTTTGGTTGCTCCATCTAATTGCATCATCGTAAAGGCTGTCTAGTGTAAGCTGGTCTAGTCCTCCCGCCTTTTGTAAAAACACAAGCATCCGCACAAAACACGGTTCATATCAACTTTCATGATAAAAATGGCATTTACGTAATAGGGAACTCTAATATCCAGTACGAGTTTGTTCCACTTTTAGCCCTCTGGCTATTGAGGCATCGACACTCAAGTTACCCATCTGATTTTTCAACTTTTACTCATCTAACTATTTACACTTCTAATTTTGGTACTTCCATAGTTGTCTTTTAGATTTTCCACTTTTAAACATCTAAATATTGTGATGGTGACATTGTCAATCCTCCAACTACTACGGGAAAATTCAAAGACGAATGCCAAAAGTGCATTGTCACAATATTCAGAATATTAAGAGTTTATAGAACCAAAGACAAGTACCAAAAGCGTCTCACATTAGTCATAAGACTAAAACTTGACAAATTCAAAGATGAATGCTAAAACTGTCATTGCCATAATAAGCAGAGGACTAAAGGTGGAACAAACTTTTCCTCTTAATCCTCTTATTAATATAAACATACATAAAGGCATATACTAATGAAGATAGGATGTAATACCAGTTTGGTAGCCGCTGTGGAAGTCTCATTGGATGTGGGAGCTTCCACTAAAGCCAACTCCCAGCCTGTAACTCCATTTGCCATATTTGGACTAGTAGATGCCGGCTGGTTCATAGAACCTACAAGAGCATCAAACTTCATACCAAAAATATTTATGCATAACCTCTCCTTAGATCGGTTAGTTTTGATATTTATATATATGGTGAAAAATCATGAGGCGGATTAAAGTACAAGGGGAGCCAAAGATAAAGTGGTGGAGGATCGAGAGGAATCTCCAACAAACTTTTGCACACAAAATGTTGGAGGAAGATGTATGGTCTATTGATAATGACACACATGTGAATAATGTGTGGTCATCAATAAAGTCCACCATTAACAAAGTGGCGAAGGAGATACTCGGAGAATATAAAGGATGTCTGCCACCAAAAAAGGACACGTCTTGGTGGAATGATGAGGTTAAATAAGCAATAAGGAACAAAAGGGAATGCTATAAGAAATTGGGCAAAAGTTGGAGCGACAAGAACATAGAGGAGTACAAGGAGGTTAGAAGAAGAGCAAAGAAAGTTGTGAAGGAAGCCAGAGCAAAAGTGAACAAGGAATTGTATGTAAAATTGGACTCTAAGGAAGGAGAAAAAGACATCTAAAGACTTGCTCACCTTCGTGACCGTAGGACTCAAGATATCGGAAAAGTTAAGTGTGTGAAGGATGTCAATCAAAGGGTACTAATGGAGAACGAGGAAATAAAAGAGAGTTGGAGGTCGTACTTTGATACCTTGTTCAACGAGAATAAAGTGCAAGTTATTGATGATCTTACTATACCAGAGTGTATGGTAAATCGGGACTTCGTGAGAAGAATTCAAATAACAGAAGTTAAATAGGCTATGAGAAAAATGGGGCGGAAGAAAGCAGTGGGCCCAGATGGCATACCGATCGAGGCTTGGAGAAATTTGGGAGAAAGGCATCGAGTGGCTAACACGTTTCTTTAACATGATGAAACAACAAAATGTCAGTGAGTTGGCGGAAGAATACTCTCATTCCCCTATTTAAAAATAAGGGTGATGTACAAGAATGTGCCAACTATCGAGGGATTAAGCTTATGAGTCACACCATGAAACTTTGGGAGCAAATGGTTGAACAAAGACTTCGTAAAAGTGTGAAAATTTCCGAGAATCAATTTGGTTTTATGGCTGGAAGCTCGACAACTGATGTCATTCACCTTCTTAGACAAGTTGTGGAGAAGTATAGAGACACAAAAAAGGATATGCATTTGGTGTTTATGGACTTAGAAAAGACATATGATAGGGTACCTCGAGAAGTCCTTTGGTGGGCCTTAACTAGAAAAGGTATATCATGTAAGTATATCAGTATCATCATGGATATGTATGATGCTTGTACTACAATTGTCCGCACTGGTGTAGGGAGAACCGCAGAGTTCCCTATTACTATCGGGGTGCACCAAGGATCTGCACTGAATTTTCTTATTTGTTGTAGTCCTTTCTTATTTGCTATAGTCATGGATGAACTTATGAAGTCAATTAAAGAAGATATATACCGTGATGCATGACGTTTGCCGACGATATTGTATTGATTGATGAGACGGAATCCGGTGTTAAAGCGAAGTTGGAAGTATGGCGACAAACATTGGAGACTTGGTAAGGAGTGCACGACTGAGTATATGGAGAGCAAGTTTGGTGGAGGTACAAGTAGTAGCAACAACGGGATTACTCGTGATGGTAAGGAGATACTGGTGTGTAATATGTTCCGTTATTTGGGCTCCATAATTCAGAAGGATGGTAATTAGATTAAGATGTATGTCATAGAATCAGAGCTGGGTGGATGAAATGGAAGAGTGCATCAGGATTTCTATGCAATCGAGGTATGCCGACTAGACTGAAAGGTAAATTTTATCGAACAGCAATAAGGCTTGCATTAATGTATGGCGTAGAGTGTTGGGCGGTGAAGCAATGCCACATTCAAAAGATGAGTGTGGCAGAGATGCGTATGTTGCATTGGATGTGTGGACATACCAGAAAAGATCGCTTGAGAAATGAGATAATCGGACAAAAGGTGGGAATAGCACCTATAGAAGATAAGATGCAGGAGTCTCGTTTGTGGTGGTTTGGGCATGTGCCTTGAAGATCGAATGATGCACCTGTTAGACGAGTTGGGGGGGAGAAGAGACAGAGAAGAGAGGGAGAGGAAGACCCAAATAGACTTGGATGAGAGGAATCAGAACTTATATGTGTCTTCTTGGGTTGGATGAGAGTATGGCTTTGGAGAGAGCAAAGAGGAGGACGCGCATCCGTGTGGACGATTGATGTCTTTTCTACATTTCCTCTCTCTTTTCGTTTATCGTTTATCTTCTTTATCTTTTATATTCTTATGTTATTTTATCTTCTAGCTTTTTTATTCTCTTTTATTTTTTTCTCTTTTAACTTTCTTATATTCTCATATTATTGTTATCTTATATTTATTTATCTTTATTTTATCTGTTTTATCTTACTTCTTTTCCCCCCTCCTTGTCCGTCTCTCTGTTTGGCATCGATATCATAGATCGATTCATGTTAGCCGACCCTAAATTCTTTTGGGATTAAGGCTTGGATGTTGTTGTTGGTGGTGGTGACAAATCGTGGGGAGATTAACAATATTGTTATGTTAATGATTTCTAACTAATTGAGTTCATTTATATCATTATCACTTTGGGAGGTGATGTTTAAAACTATGTGTCCAATTGGAACACATGAATGACAGGGAAAGATAACAGGGAGGAATACAAAGGAAAAATCGGGAGAGAAAATCTTGACGAAGATAACAACATTAATTCAAACTCAACAAATTAAGGTTTAATATTTGTTCCAATTCATATTTTATTTTATTTTTTTAGTATATAAATACTAGGAATTTAAAGAAACCTAAACATATGTTAAAATTTTAAAAATATTAGTCTAAATTCACTTCCTTGGCATTTTCAAAAGTAGATCCAAACATAAGAAATTAACAATGTTTAACACTTTCTTTCCTTAGCATTCTCCGAGATGGCGAGATCCAAACATAGCCTACAACTCTGAATATAACTTACTTACCAACGGGAACTATAGCTAAAGCTGTGGCATTTTTCTCTTCTAATTCGGCAACAGCTGGAGCTGGATTGTCAAGAGACTAGCAAACACAAAAATTAAATGCAAAGGCTTCAGACTTTTGCTGATTCATTTTTCCCACTTGACCTACATACATAGGGGGTAACTCTTACCAACAGGTCTGGTGGTTCTGCCACAGGAGTTTCCACCTTAACAGCTTCTGGCACTGGTTCAGGTTCTGGCACTGGATCCGCCTCTTTGATTACAGAATTTTTTTTGTACTCTATAGGCAAGACCACTTTCTTATCTTCAATGACCTGTGTTTTTTAGAGGTAAAGTAATAAGTACAGCCTGGAGGGAGTGTGTACCAGATCTATAATTTGAGAAAGAAAGTTTCAAATAAAGCTTAAGATACTTGGTGCCCGAACTAGTCAATGCATATAAGAAATAATTCTCCAAAAGTCATGCACTTATGGATGAACAATGAGACCCTTATATAGAGCTATTACAAGAGCCCTAATAATGATATGAATTACAAATACAGAAATAAAGAAATTGCCCTAAATATGAGTAAAAACATTGTAAATTTCAAAATAGAATGACATTGTTTTCTCTAAATATGAGCAAGTAATGTCATGCTTGGGAAATACGATCAATTGTGGCCATTAATACTGTCATATTAAAGTCTATCATTGCCTCGTAATGCTAAAATATGGCAGTATGATCTCATGATGGCATTGATTTTCTCCTATTTAGGGGGGGCATAGTACTCCTCCCTCCCCCCTCCAAGAGTGCACACCAACAAACAAAACCTAAAATCAATTATAAACACAACAAGTTGTTTAAACTTTTTCTTTCTAGAATTTAACTTACATTAGGGTGACACCAATTAGAGCACCGTATAGTAATTCACATTAAAAGAGGGAAAATGGTAAGTTCTTACCGAGTCCTTGCGAGCAATAGAAAACCGAGGTGCTTCTCTAACATAGTCCTCCATTGTTTGTAGAAAAGATGCAGGAGGCTTAAAGGAAAGGAAGAAGGTCGAATTAAGTCAAAAATCAAAACGCCACACATGTCTCTTATTTTTCAGAAATCAAAGATCAAAACATTATCAAACCTGCTCAATCTTGATAAATCTTTCTCCCCGGCCAACATCAAGATTCTTACATATCTCGTAAAATTCAGAGAGTCTCTCAGCCTAAAAATATGAAGTGAAATCAAAACACTGTCCAAATGGAAAAAGCACCTCCTAATTTATTCGGGTCTGTGAGGCTGTAGGCTCAAATTTAAGGACAAAAATACTACCTCAGTTCTTAAAAAAGAGCAACATGTTGAATCTTAAACTATTCACAATTATACATGTTCTACTTTGACTGAGTTTTATTAATTAATATATTTAAATTAACTATTTGAAAAATATTGTTAAATTTATCTCATTGTATACTTTCAAAATCTGAATTTTTTAATTTTTTTAAGAAAATTAAATCTATTAACGGTCAAAGTCGTGCATTAGCAAACATGAAAAAGAAAGCATTGCACTTAAAAGAGAACGGAGGTAGTATACGATATGATACCTGCTGACCAGCCCTGCGGTATATGTCCAGAGCCCTAAGAGCATCATTCCGTTGCATCTCAAAGAACTATTAGGATAGGAATGTAAGTCACCTTTTTGCCAATGATTAAACCAAAACAAACAAACAATAATTGCTTATAGTACACATATAGTAGTAGTTAATATAAGAGAGGCTACCTTGTCAACCAAATTAACAGTGCCATCACTAATAGAGTTGTAAACTTTAACACTTTCTGAAGCAACCTAGTATGAACCAGCAACGCACTATTAGATTACCACAATTACATATGTACATCCACTCTCCTAAACTAAATTCATGACTATAAGTATATATATCGATATATAGATATATATAGATATATATTTACGCACTTACATGCAAAATATAAATGTGTGTGTGCTTTTTTGTTTATATATTCATATAACATACCATTGTAAGTGCTATCTGAATAACAAAATTATGAACAGCTGCCCCTTGTGGCTGCAAAGTTCAGTAGAAGTATCATGAGTTATATCCTGTATAGACATGAAAGTTATGGCTTGTTTGGTTTGAAGCTTTCGGAGGGGATGGAGGAGAGGGAAGGGAAGGATTGTTTGATTTATATACTATTTATTTCTGTTTCTTTATTTTAGGCTAGAAATAACGATATGATTAGATAGATCAGGTATTTCTATATAAATGGTAATCTTAATTTCTTTCTAACCATCAAAATGTAGAAATAGTTCGAATATAATATCATTCCTCCCTCCCCCTCCCCCCTTGAAATCCTCGAACCAATCAAACCCTTAAACTTATTTCAACCATGAAGATCTGCTTATAAGTATAAGATAATCAAACATGTCATGTGAATTTTGATAACATCATTGGTAAGAAGATTGTCAACAGCATAAATGAACATATACTTAGTATTAAATTACCTGACAGCCAATAACACGATATAGAAGTTGCTGTAGAGATGGCAACTGTTCAAGCAAATCCGGAGTGTCCAAATCATTGGTTCTCTGAAGTAGAGAAGGGAAAGTTGAAAATGTAAATTAAGTTTCCAGTACTATATTAGTACAAACAAATGAAACAATATTTGACTCACCGTACGATCAGATTCCACATCATATTTCAACACCCGAAAGCACTCCAGCCTCTCCTCCAAATATAATGCATAGCTACGCACCCAAGCAGAGTAATCCCATGCTACAGCATGTATGAACAAAAACATAAAGTATGAAAACATATAACCTAATACAACTTCCCCATGAACAAGAGAATGTGAAGCCTACCATTAGGACTTGAATCATCTTTGAAATGAGACATGTTAAGCATGCGATTCCTGCTTCGTCCATAGTTAATAAGTTCCTCATGGAATGTGGGGTCCACCTCTCGCAATGCACGATGGATAACAATCAATGTTTTTAATGCAACCTGTGAGTGATAAATAACCATGCAGACAGGAGTCAGATGCTGTTAACAATCACCTAGTGTAATATAAGTACAGCATTTGGATATTCAAGACCTTGCACACATGTTACCCATCAATCAACACTAGAGTAGTGCCTAGAATCACCCTTGACTACTAAGACCATATATTAGTATTAAGACTTATAACTTATTGTTCCATCATATAGAGTAGGCCAAGCCGCCAAGGACTTATAAATTGGTATCTTTATGTTTGACTGATATTGATTGCTCATTTAAGTGTCAACCTTATAATTTGTGTTCCCTTATTTTAGTCTTGGTTGGTTTGATTACTCAATTGAACTTAAGTGTCTCTCGTATCATATCCAAAGTCCAAACTTGCAAGTCTATACTAAAAGGTCAATCTCATCGGAGGAGTAATTCAAGGTCTTATAGATGAATTTTTAATTTTATATTTAGCTAATGTTGGATGCCATTACATGTCTCGCACAATGGTGGGATGTTGTAGTGAACCTATCTTGAAATTCATGAGCGCTTATTTAGTCTCTCGATTGAACTTGATTAACTCACATATTACATACATCCCATTGGACATTGCCAAGTTTATGTTTGGTGTGATAAGAAAAGTAAAAAATGTGTGATTGAGAGTGTGTGATTGAGAGCTGTGCAGAGGAAAGAGAAATAAGCAGAACCACAAATTATTTGATTTAAATGGAAAGTAGCAAAGTGTTTTGAACAAACAAAAAAGAAAAGTTGACAGAGTCCAACAGCACGGGGGGAGTATTATAGTAAAACTTAGGTTCAATCTTCAAAGGTTAAGATTAGCCCAAGAACATATATCATATATGTGAATTTGTATCTCTATATTTGACCAGTGTGGCAAAGATTAACAATTAGAAATAGCATCTAAAGCTAAACTTAGAAAAATATTATACATGACAAAGCATATATAATTTGATTTTGCAGGACTCTAGGATTTCAGCCTCATGAAAAATTACAGAGAATAGAATTTGTTTTGTTTTAGAGAATTGGAAATATATTGGGAACGTACCGCCCAATTATGTGTCTTAGAAAGACGTCTTGCAAGAGCATTAATGCAGTACGCAACATCAGCCCGAGGCCTTGTCGCAGAAATAGCAGCAAAGATCGCTGCATTAAGAGATAAACACATGACATCATGTCCACTGGATAGGTATTAGGGTAATATTGTTAAAAAAACAATGTGCCCTTCATATCCCCACACCTCTTATATGTTTCTCTTTTGCCGGGCGCTCAACATGATTTGTTGCCCTAACAATAGCAATGTCCAGCTCCTGTTGACAATTAAATTCCGTGAAACTGAAGGTGTCAAAATGGGATAGAAATATAAAGAAGGAAGAGAGGTATAGGAAAAACAACAATACATTGAATACAATATAGCATGTAAAAAATACATTGAATACAATATAGCATGTAAAAAGTACCTTGTAATCGCTATTTATTTTAGCTATACTAACAGTGGTGGTATCCTTAAGTGCCCCAAGTGTTTTTCTCAAGCTGTTCTGTGTACCCCCTCCTCCTCCTCCTGACATTCTCTCTTCAAATTATATTTGGCAGCAGCTATCTGTTCTAGTCTAGAATAACAATTTCCATTTCAATACATGAGTCACAATTTACAATCAAACTCTAGGGATAAACCTAAGATAATTATTAAACAATGCCGAAAAGATAACAATAAAATAACTAAAAAAGATTAATTCTCAACAATGTATACATTTAAAAACATAGATGTATCAATTTCTCATTGGAATAATCAATAATCCAGGTACCTCAAAACCAAAAAGAAAGAAATAGCACACAACTGCAGAAGTTTGACCTGATCTAGTTCCTAGCTGGTTTGCAACTCGCATATAAATTCTAATGCCAACAATTTCATTTGATCCGAGTCCATTCAATGATTCAATTGAGCTGCCCAATTAAATAAATATTTTAATATTCACCTAATAACCGCCACTACGTAAACCAGAACACACTCAAGCTGCATGGAGATCATCACATATTAATGAATATTATCTCGATCTACAGTTTTATTTATAAAGTTCAGAATTTCAAGGAACATAATAAACATAAACAGACTGAGAGACTGATCTTATTGTCCACGAACAATTAAACAGAGGAACAATAGAAAAAAGTTTCCATAGATTAAAATAATCATAATAATCATAGAAAGATAGAATTGAAATAGCACAAAAATGACAGTCCCAGAGACTCAATGAGCCAAGACTCAATCTTCAAACATCTGTGCCTCATATTTCAGCTACCCAGCAGTCGAAAAATCAAGAAAGGTTAATGCTTGATTTACACAAACGGAGGAAAGAGATCAGAGAAAGAGAATCTGACCTGACCTCAAACTGAAGAAATTTTCTGAAAAAAGAGATGAAGCGAAGAGAACAGAAAAGGAGATGTTTAAAAGGGAGAGAGGGGAGTCGTTTCTGGTGGTCTGGATACAGAAGAAAAGTGCGCAACAATGAGTTCATTTTGGTTGGCCGTCGGCGTCATTTTCTTATTCCTTTTTTATTGCGTATTTTAAATATGAAAGAATTATTCAAATTGGACTAAACGAAAATTTAATTGTTAAGATAGGATTATAACTTAAAAAATTCCTAAGTAGGCCTAACTTTTCAATTCTACCCTTTCTTTGCTTTAATACAATTCATGTAATTAAAATATAAAGGTAATAACATAATTTTATATATAATAAAAATGTAAAAAAAACAAAAAAAAAACGAAATAAATATTAATATAATTAATAAAAAATTGACAAATAAAAAATTATATAATAAAAAAATTAAAAATAAAATAAATAAATAAAAATGAAAAAAGTATTAAAAAAATGTGTAGGCCTATGTTGCCACCTCAGCAACCTCCCAGCACATCTAGGTCCGATCACCGGGAAAAAATGCCAACTTTTGTCCGAAATGCCGTCTTCATGAAAGTTTTTGAGAAAATTTTGATATCTTCAAAGAGTAAAAATGTCATTTTCATGACATTTTCAGAGAAAAAATGGCACTTTTTACACAACATGACATTTTTTTTTTATATTTTTTAAGGTGTTTTATCTATTTTTTATTTATTTTTAAAGTTTTTTATTTTTTGAAAAAAAATATTTTTTATTATTATAGTAATTTTTAAAAAAAATATTTGAGAATTTTTTACAGTTTTTTATTTTTTTTTGTATAAATTAAACTATTTTTTTTTGTGTTTATTACAAATAAAATATGATTGCCCTATTAAATTATGGTAAGGGTATAATAGGTAGATAGGGTATACTTTACTCCTATTTTGAGAAGATAAATAACATAGTCCTATTTGTGCATTTAGAGCTATTATGTCTTTAAATATATGTACAGCGTGTCCTCTAATTTGCTGATTTGATCTGAAAGTATTTAAGAAATAAATATACAGAGAATATTGTAATTGTACTATGCACGTGAATTTATAAACTTTTTTAATCCATTAACTTTTTTTGGAATAAAATAAGTTTAAATTGATATCACATCATTCAGATATTGGGTAAAACGACAAAAAGATCACTCACAATTGTCGTCCCTCGAATCATATATAGAGTTAATCGCCTCTAGAGAAGCAATATAACTTGTTGATTCATGACTGGACGCAAATGAGCCAAAGACGGTTAAAGCAGACCTCCTGTCACCCAAATTCAAACACAGGGTCTTACAACAAAACAAAGAACAACAATAAAAGTAAACGGTACGATCCAAACAATCAAAAAAGAAAAAAAAATGTAAAAATTTTCCTCAATATCAGAGCCCGTCTCCTCCCCGTTTTTTGGTTTGTCGAGAGCCATGTTATCCCCCCCCCCCCCCCCAACTGGGTTCCCTATTTCCTCGGTGCTCCCAAACTCCCCATCTTTTGTCATGCTAGTACCTGTGCCCGACGTGGATTCCTTCCAATTCCCTCTTGTTCTACCATCCGACTTTTTGTCCTCTTTAAGTGGAAGTCCCCGACTTGAGCTAGAGGACCCTTCGATTAGCCACTTGTTACCTCTTGTAGGATTATTCTTCACCCCTCCACCAGCTCTAAGGTTCACCCCAAAAGTTTTTTCCAACACCAGGTTATCCTCATACGCCAACATACAGAACTTATTAGAATGACCAATAATACCACAGATAAAGCAAAAATTGGGTAGCTTCTCATACTTGAACTCTACCCAGTGGCCAATTCCTCCTTTCTTAAGAGTGGTTCCTTTTTTAGAGGTTTTCCACATCCATACAGACCCTGACTCGTAAATAAGCTTCCCACTTTTCGTCAAATTGGTTTTCATCATAGCTAATAAATTTACCAATAAAGTTATCAATTCTTCTAGCAATGCCTAGGTTCATGAAACTATATGGAACATTATGAACCTGTATCCAAAATTCAGCCTCATTGAGGCTAATCTTGAGCGAAATAACCTTCGGCCTCACCTCTTTTAGAATCAACAGATTTCTTTCAAACAACCACGGGCTGCCCTCTAAAACACGTTTCATATCCACAATATGATAGAAAGTAAAGAGACATCGTTTGTCGCCTATTTCTTTGATCGACACACATTTTCCTGATCTCCACAACGAAGTCATGAGCTCCTTAAAAATGCAAAATTTGATCTTCCTATCAGTCAGCAGAGCGTCAACAACCGGAAAGCTCGGCTGCTTCTCCTACACTACTGGTTCTTCGAATTCGTCATCATCCAAATTCAACTCCTCAGAATTCCCCCTTATTGACGTGTTCTTGTATTGATTGACAATTGTTTCCATTGGAGACTACCTGCTCCAGAATCAATCAGAATCCTCAGCCGCACGACACAATCTCCGCCCTCCGTCGCGTCAGAGAAGACCTCGACTCTGCTACCTACATAATCCTCCATTGTAGTCTGTCCTTCGCGATCGTTCACCGTCAACAACGGCGGCGGGATATCAGTTAACCACCTCCGGCGGCTGCTCCTCGACAATGTTGATAGCGAAGAGAAAACCCTAGCGTTGGAAAGACACCCTAGAGAGAGAATTGTCGTCGATCAGACTTTATGATTAAGTTTATTATACCGAAAGTTATTGGATTCATCCATTAACTTTTAATAAATCCATACACTTTTACATGCATAAACTTTTTATGACGAGGTATGTTGATTTGCATAAAGTCATGGATAAGTTCATAGATTTTTAAAAAGTCCATAGGCTGAGTCGTCGTTACCGATTGCCTGGAGTTCCCTCCAGATTGTCGCCGCCGATCTGCCACAATCTCGCTGAAGTTCTCCGCCACTACCTGACCGACCGTGGTTATGCAATGGAAATAACAGACAATTAATTATATTGATTAATTAAATTAGGAGTAGAAATGTAATATTTAATCTTATTTAAGAAAAATCAAACATATGATCCTATTTTGTGAAGAATGTTATGTTTTAGTCTTATCATGAGTGATTTTATCTATATAATATGATACAAAACAATTATATAAATAAATGAAACAAATGTAATCCATCTAACAATGTGAAGCTCTACAAGAATAAATGAGGTCTAAGCATCCAAATTTATTTTATTAATTGGAAAATTCAAAATTGATATAATGATCAACATAAATCATCTTTATGATCAATTGTTAGAAAATTTATTTTTATATATACTTTGGCGTAGTATTTTTCAATACTTTTTTTACTCAACTTTCCAATTAAATTTTAAAGTGAAACTTGGTGGACATAATCTACACTTCATTAAGACATGTTTACAAAATTTCATCGAAAATTTCCACCTGTAAGAACCTCAAATGGAGGTGGCCGAACGTCAACTTCTGTGAGGTAGTTCTTACACGATCATTCATATACTATTATAATTTATAAATATATGTCACTCATTGGTTTTATATGACATTAAGAAGGCGGACTTTGGCCTCTTTTGAATCTCTTCAACTTTCCCCACTTATTTAGCATTTTTGCTGTTTTCTCATCTTCATTAATATGGGAATTGAGAGAAATATTTTTGATAATTGAAGATACTGGTTTCTGTAAAAAAAAATTGTACAAACACTAGTGAAAAGTGATGAACTGTGGCACAATGTTAGCGGTTTCTGTGAAAAAAATTGTACAAACACTAGTGAAAAAGTGATGAACTGTGGCACAATGTTAGCGGTGCTTAAGAAATAAACAGCCTTCAAAAATTACATGTGAGACGCTTATATATAAAAAGTGTCCTCCAATATATTATAATATGGTTAAGAGTTTTGATTTTATGACTTCAAAGTACTTTTTTATGTTGAACTTTGATTTTATAGTAAAATTGACTTTCACCATTATAATTTTATGGCCCCCTATTTTTAATTTGTCCCGGGTCTCCAAAATGTCACAAGCAGGCCTGAATAGGAGTAAAGTATTACCATCGCGAAATCATGCAATCATACTAATATGATACTCCTATTATGACTGCCGACTCCAAAATCTAATACTCCGTAGTATTTACTATTAAATAGGGAAGAACATAGTACTTTTATTTAGCAAAACAATCTATTTTGCTCCGATTTTGTGCTATTTTTTTTTTAAATCATATTTGATGATGACTACCGACTCCAAAATCTTTTGAGACTAAAGCTTACTGTTTGGCTTAGATGTTGTTGTATATTTGATGATGACTGGGTAAAATGACAAATAATGTGGAACTACATGAGTCTCGTCAATTGGAAGATGATGTGACAGAACATGTGGTTGTTGGCTAAGGGCATCACTACTGCAATAATGTGCAGGTGCACATGCATGTAACTTGAGAGAGATAGACACATAAAAACAAATCAATGACATTTTCATCACTTTCTTTCTACGATTTTATATATATGTTTGTAACTTTTTCTCAATAATGTCAACCGCGATATCTATATCTAGACATTCTTTTTGACCATATGAAAAAAACTTAGCAAAAACATATAAGACCGTTGAAATAAGGAGAGAGATATTCTGCTTACTAATATTTATGTGACTATCTTTCTCATGTCAGATGTGCATTGTGCACATTGTAGTATTGGAGTTGCTCCAAAAATAGCAGATTATGGGACACTAGCACTAACATGGCACCACGTGGGATGAGATCCCTAAGACATCAATATACTCTGGTTGCCTACCATTATTAGGTGGTGATAGTGTTGGAGCAATGCCAGCAAAATGTTGATCGTCATTGACTCGGCCATTTGTGGCGACGTTGATGTAGTGCCAATGTTGCTTCTCTTCAATGCGGCCGGTGTGTATGGCACACAACTTGTGAGGTTCATACTATAACCAAAAGAATGTTAGGATGACCCTCTTGATGAAAGCTAGGAATCTCATGGTATGCTCATAATTTATTTTGAGAATACAAATAAAAACCAAAAACAAAAACATACTCGTATCATATAAGTCTATTCCGATCAAACTCAAGAGACTACTTCTTAGGATGAGAAAACTTTTCGGTTAATCAAAAAAGAATAACAATATTAATCCAACTCACTCAAATGCTAAAACTAACACTATGTAAAGTCTCTCACTAGAATTTCT